ATTAAATACTTTTTTTACGGGTACAAAACTGAAATTTTTTATAATTGATGTTACTTTTTTAACGCTTTCATTGTCATCGCAATAGAATTTTTACACCACATGAACTTATAAAAAGTAACCAATATTAAATTGTTTATTTTCACTAATAAATATATTAGTTTGTATGGCATTACAATGACTCATGTAAAAATATGATTTTAAAAGTTTTTAACGAAAAAATATAAAAATTTGTTTATAATTACATTATTTACGTTCTCAACATTAAATTTTTCATTACAGCAGAATCTTACTTGAACAATCTTATTTCTAATAAACCTTTTGTTTATTAACAAACTGAATGTATAAAAACCCTAAAGCGACTAAGCCTAGGACACACTTCAATTTTGTATTCTCTATAAAAAAAACGCTGAAAGATGAACTTTGTTTGATATATTTATTCAAAAGAGTAACACATGAACATTAGAAACCACAATTTTATCGGGTACATTATTTTTCTGCGAGGATATTGATATGCCTTCATATTTAAACTATACATATTATAAAATGTAAGATATAACTACAGCTATTTTTTAAATAAATGTTTGTAATCATTAATAATTTGAATAAAACAATTTGCAATTAAATTTATGTAATATATTTTATTTTCTTCCTTCAATCATTGTGGTTATTAAAAGTTGTACGTTGCAAAACTACTGGTACGTTAAAAACAGTGAAAAGCTAATAAATTAAATATTACATTTTATTAGAAGAAATGTGATTGTAATTTATATATTTTTGAAGGTGATGAACAAAAAAATGTACTATATTAAAATTATATCAAATGAGAATGTAACGGAACATTCATCAATATGGAAATTGAATGTAATAAAAAATTATACTTTCAATAGAATGAAATAAATAGAAATTCAGTAACTTAAAATTCTACTAAAGACAAATTCTAAGTGACTGTGAGAAATATTTTTATTCATCTTTTAATGTAAAAAATGTTTTCAAAAAATCTATATATGAAGACGAACTGTAAAGGAACAAGCAACAAAAATACTTTCTAGCATTTTCATTCATTTTATAATAAAAAAAATTGTAATTTTAAAATTTGTCAATTACAATGTCCAGGAATGAGCTTGGAGAAAGGTAACAAATTAATTATTTTCTTCTAAACTTGCTTAATATTTATTCCTAAATAAAGGAAAATAAAGATCAGTTTTGATAATAAAGTTATAAGCAGAATTTAAAATAAATTTTAAGAAAATGAATTAATTTTATTCATTGATGTCAATTTAAGGTTTCAAAATTAGTATTCTTTTCAGATCATAATTCAAATTAATTGGAATGACATTAATTAAGGTTAAAACTATTAATTTTTGATAAAATAAAAAGTAGTATGAATACAATTTTAAATAAAAAGAACTTAACTGCCTGCTCATAGAGAAACGGAAAATTGCTAAGTGTTATAAAAATTTTGGTTAGCGATGTATCTCTAAAATGGTAAAGTCGTAATTATATGTTTCTTAAGCTGAAATTTAAAAATCTATTGCTTTTCATTATTTTGTTGCATTTAATTACCCCATGTAACACTAAATAATTTTTTTGCTAACAGTTTAATGTAGTGTTGCAATAGACATTAAGATAGTGAGGTAATTAATTATCTGCGCTGTTTTTTGCAAGATAAATAACAAAATAATAATAATAATAATAATAATAATAATATAATGGAAAAATAACTTTTCCCTTTTTTTTAGGGAAAACGTAACCAAAAACATATATGTTTTTTTATTAATAACTGCTTATGCCTTATGGTGTTTTACCTTAAGGTCATGTGAGTGTTAGGTCTGTAATGTTAATTTGACCGTAACTTTTCTCGTAAAATGATAAATGGATTGAGTTGAAATTTTGTAGAGGAATTTAAAATATGATAAAGAATAGTTGTGAAGTGCGAATATGTTGATATATTGTTAAATAAATATAATAGAAGGCATAGGAGAGTTTTCAGGGGTTTTCGGGGTCTCAGATTGCGAATTTAAAGTCAGTTTTTCAAAATTCAAAATGGCGGATCGATTTATAGCGTGTAGCGAACGATTTTTTAAACAATCGTTCGGATTCGCTTGAAAGTCGTTAATCGGGAGTTTTCAGGGTCGCTGATTTCGAATCTGATGTAAGTTTTTCAAAATTTAAAATGTCAGATACAATATGGCGGACAGGAAAATTAAAAATCAATACAATTTACTAATATCAGATTCGTAATCAGCGACTTGAAAACCCCTGAATAACGAGTTTCAAGCATAACCGTTAAATTAAAAAAAGTATATCCGCCATTTTGAATTTTGAAAAACGGACACCGGATTCGTAATCAGCGACCCCGAAAACCCCCGAGTAACGATTTTTAAGCGAATATGTTGAAGTAATTGAAAAAAAAGTTGTCTGGGTCCGAGGGACCTAGCTTAGGCACGCAAGGGTTAATTATAATTGTTTTATATTTTGTATATTAAAATAAACTTGGATTATTACTTTTTAGATACATAAATAATGTAAATTGTTTATGAAATTGTTATTAAAAATATCGAATTTTTAGGTTTACAATTTTGCAATTATATTCATTGATATGAGGGTAATTTTTTATATAATCAGTATAAGTTTCATTAATGTATTGTAAACGGTTGTTGAGTTATTAATTTTTCTTTAAAATGTTGTAAAATTTTGTTTATGCAAAAAACTAACTAAAATTTCAAAAAACGGTTAAAAGTGTTTTTTTGTTTTATTATAAACTACATATTTTCATTAAAGTTTTTACATTTTAGAAAATCAATGAAAATTTGTTGAGAAGGTTGACCTGGAGTTACTCTATATTTTATGCGAATTTTAAATTTTAGGGCAAAAGAAAATCCATTTTTTATAGAAAGTAAATTACTTATAAAACTTTTTGTGTCGATATATTCGTTTCGGCAAGTATAACATCTTTTTCAGCATTTATTTACGAGTAATTTTCATTAAAAGTAATTGTTAAAGTATTATCAATATGCTGAGAATTTTACATTTTGATAAAAAATGCAGTGTGGGGCAAAACCGGGTGCCAAACGTTGGAGCAAAATCGGATATATTTAAATGCATTACACTATACATATTAAAATTTTATCTCAAAAGAATCGACATGTATGTTTCGAAATCGATGTATAACTTTCGATATATCAATTATTTACATTATCGATAAATAAACGATAAAAAATTAATAAAAATATGAAATATTTCGTTTTAAAAGATTTAACTGCTGTTATTCATTATTAATATAATATATTTAGATTAAATTTATTGAATATTAACTATTTTCTATATTGTAAGTGATATATAATAATAATTGAACAAAAAGTTAAAGAATATTCCATGATTTATATATTTTCTTGATAGTACCCGGTTTAAATTGATCAAAAAAAATTTTTTCCTGTAATCGACTTTATTTTTTCTTTCTCTAATGTTCAAGGAAGAATTTTCAACGAGATTTGAACTAATTTATTTGATAGATTCTTTGTAAACTGAAAATTCCAAAAAGCAGGGTGGCCGCAAGTCAGGTAAAATCTGGAAATCAGGGAAAAGTCAGGGAACTTTGTTAGTCAGGGAGAAGTCAGGGAATTTTTAAAAATTCTTTAAAAGTCAGGGAATTTTGATTAAAAGAAACCAAAAATTAAAAAACTTTGATACACTGAGAAAAATATGCTACTGAATCAATAGCATTTCTGCCAAAGGTATAAAAATTATTAATTCAAAAGCATATGCTATAGAATCTATAAAATATTTTACAAATTTTATAGCATATGCTTTTGAATCAATAATTTTTATACCTTTGGCAGAAATGCTGTTGATTCAATAGCATATTTTTCTCAGTGTACATAAATGTTAATTAAGTTTTTTTTATTTAGACGTTTTTGTAATATAGCTTATTATAATGGTGCCGTCAGATTTTTCATTTTTCAAAATATTTACTTTTTTTATAATAAAAGTTTTAAATATAATAAAATTTTGGTATTAAACATTTTTTAATTATCTTATCTTTTCCTTTATTGATAAAATTGTTACTTAAAAAGCATTATAAAAATTTCAATCAGTAATGCAGAATATTAAATAATTCAAAAGTTTTTTAGTCAGATATAATAAAAAATTAGTCTGGGAAAAGTCAGGGAATTTTAAAAATAAAATTTTGTGGCCACCCTGAAAAAGGTACCCGGTTTTGCCCCACTCTCCCCTAAAAATTGTTAAAAAATCCGACACTCCAAACCCCACATTTTATAACTATTTTCAAATGTTTTATAAATAATTATTTAACAATATATTAATATTTTCGCACTGGAAAACAATTTTTTATCATATTTGGAACTCCTCCATAAAATTTCAATTCAATCCATTCACTATTTTACGAGAAAATTAAGGAAAAATTAACATTACAGACCTGACAGTCATATAACCTTAATGCATAATACAAATGCTTGTAAATATTTACATTTAAAAATTTTTAAATTTTGCAAAAAAATATGATTATTATTAATGTTATTGAATTTTTAATATATGACAAAGTTATTCTAAAAATATAATGCTTTTATATTGAATTCTTTTTAAGATGGCAAATTTAGAACAGTTCTTTTTATACTTGACTACTAGACCTTTTCATGCTGATCGTTGTGTCTTTATCTTGCGCATACTCTTCGTAAACTTCGAGTTACTTTTCTACTAATTATCAAATAATTGTGTAGATAATGTAGTGTAAAAATATTAACGAATTAATTGCTTTTACTAAATTCGAAAAGAAGCACAAACAGACATTTATTATTTCTGATTCACATATTAAATATTAAGTTAAAAATGAAAATAATTTTTTATGTATATCACTTTAAAGTCAAAATAGAATTAAACATTTCAGTTAAATTGGGATACAAACTGACTTTTATTACATGTTCCATAATAGACAATATTTTAAGGAGATGGACTTTGTACTACAAACACTTTTTTTATTTGCAGCAAAATGGAACACGACAGTATAATGACTCCACAGAAAAATACGTCAGAAAACGGTACATTATATTTTTTAAATAATGAATCACGCGCAGAAATTTTATACAGAGTTTCTAATTGATCTGAATTTTTTCAAACAACCATATAAATTTTAGAGATCAATTTCTAAGACATGTTTTGCCAGTGTTCTGTTTTTGTCTTTCAATATTGTAATATTTATCTGTAAAATCACGTAACTTATCAGTCATATATCATCTTACACACTTTTGGTTGGAAATTTTAATTCATAATAGTTCTTTTAAATACTCTGTATATTAAAAAAGTGTGTTTTTATCATTGGTGATTTACGTAATATCATTATATTCTTTATATTAACTTATACAGATCCTATTGATCTTGCTGGATACAAGAAAGTTATGTACTTTTTAATTGCAATAACACAGAGGAAATCTGGTCTCAGGTTGAAGTGCATCAATTTTAAAATACTTTATACTTAAATTAAGTATGTAACACTCTTAAAATTAAAATATATTCTTCGTTCTTAGTATATATGTATTCTAAATGCTAAGAATATATTCTAATTTTAAGAATGTAACATACTGAAATTAAGTATAAAATATTCTAAAATAGGTGCCAAGTATATGCACTAAATTTTGGAATACTTTTTTTCGGTGTGTCATTTAACATTGACTCATTTTAAGTTGCAACAAAAATGAGACTAGGTTTTTTTTGTTAGTAAGATTTTAATATTCTAAAAGTATAAAAATGTATAAAAGAAACGAATTAAAGAAATAAGTTAATCTCTCCGTGTGATGTTTGAGTTAAAATGACAAAAGTAAGCAATGGTTAATTCACATAATTCACAAAAAGTTAAATTAATTAAAACAACGGAATAAAAATTACTATTGACATTATCAGATTTACAACATTGCATTTCACCTTCTCAACTGCTTGCTGATTACGTTAATAATTACTAAACTATAGTTCTGTCAATAATTGTTTTGTAACATATATTAATAATTGGAAGTCATTACAATCTATCAAGCACACAAAATTTCTGTCAAGATATACTTTAGTCAAATTGTCCAAATCAAAAGTATTTTTTTATTTACACTTACAAATATATATTACAATTTGTACACTGAAAGGAAAGAAATAAATTTAACATTACTTTTCAGTCAGATTTAAAAGCAGATTCAATTTCAATTGAAACGCGTTAAGTGATGAATTGTTGCTTGTAATTTTATGTATATACACAGAAAAAACCTGAATTCAAATTGAGTATAGATTCTATACTCAATTTGATTCGCAACAAAAATGAAACTGGTTGTCTCATTTCGAGTTCTAAGGTAAAAGTATCAAAATGAAACAGGCAAGTTTCATTTTGAGAAAAAGAAAAATGGAAAAATATTGTGAAATAACGAATAATTTTGCACAAAAACATGAAATATAATAATTACAAAGAAGTAAATAACACGCTAGACTTAATATATTTGATTAAAAATTGCTTGTAATCGCGTAATAAAATAATAAAGGAAATATGTTTTTAGGTTAGAAAAATGAAAACATGTGTTTTGACAACAGGAACGGTACTGCCAACTTAAATAATAGCGGTAAATTTAAAAACTTATGAAATTAATTATTATCTACGTAAATAATAATAAATAATTTTTATTTAAAAACTTCTAAATATTCGTACTGGTCAAAATAATCTTTCTGGTGTTGTTGAAATATTAGAAACAATAATTGAAATACAAAATTACTCTGCTTATGATGCCAACTTAGAAATCTGAAATTCCAGCCAATATCATTTTAAATAACATGAAGTTTGTCCCATACTCATTTCGATACCCAAAAGAAAATGAGTTGCAACAAAAATGAGTCCAAGTTTTTTCTGTGTATATAAAATTAATTTTAAAAAAATAGTTTATTAAACGTTGCTTATTTCTGTGAATTTATTTTTCTAAAAACATAAGAAAAGTTAATATTGAAATCCCAATTTCAAGAAATAAATTTGATGTTTCTATTTTTCCTAATAAATCAACCACAGATAAAATACTCTTTACCAAGGATCACAGTCGCATCAATTGTGCGTTACGATATTATAGTCAATTATTTTAAATGTGCAACTTTTTATTAAAAAAAGATATAAATTTTTATCCAAATATAAAATCATATAAATAATTTACAACATATAATAATAATAATAATTTTCCGTTTTTGCGATAAGGACTAGACTACTAATATTGGCATGCTAATATTTTCCCTGTACTGCAACAGTACCACTCAATGATGTCCATTATGTTATCATTTCGCACTTATACTATTACTGGTGCAGTATTGCTTTCATTACTCCAGCAGTATGCTTATTAATTGGACAGTACCTGTGTTTATGATAAATTTTCCTTAACCCCTTTACTGTTAGAGAAAAGATTGATACTGTTATCCCAAAATGTCCAACAAATTCTGGTCGACAAATTTTTATAAAACTTAGTATATAAAGATTTTTGGGGTCTCTGAATGAAATAAAATTTTTTTTTTGGGATTTTTACTTATTTTTCAATTGTTTATTAGCTAAAAATAATAAATAATAATTTAATTATTATTTAATCAAATATCATTGATACCTGTAGTGTGCGAATAGTGATATAAAAGAATTTATTTTACAATTTAAATGGAAAATTTCATTTATTTTGTCGCTGACAGTGAAGGGATTAAGGAATTAACACACATTTTCTGGCTTGTGAAATCTTTTTCTAATTAATACCTATAATTCTAATAGGCATGTAATCTATCTTTCTGTTTAGTTTTTTATCTGGAGACTTTCTCTCCAAGCTTACCGTCAATTTTCTTTTTAAAAGACATTTTCTTCTTCAAATTCATTCATATCTTTTACATATTTGAGACATAAAAAATCTTTTTATGTATCAAAAACGGAAAAACAAAAAATTTATCATTATTATTCAGAAATATAATTTGAATAAAATATACATTAAGTACTTAAAATGGTTGACTTAAAAAGGAAAAAAAATATAAATAAAATTAATACAATATTATGTCTTATTAGGACTTTCTTTTAAAAAAAGCCACTGTAATCCTTGAATTATCAACATTTAAGCCTTTTCTCATGTATCTGAATTTTTATAGTTTTGAATGAAATGGAAGTGAAATTAAAAGCAGAATTCTTTTTAGACTTTCTATAAGTTGTAAATTGCAGTAAATCCATTTTTCAATAAATAGGTCCACGAAGAACATGTAGGCCGAAAAAGCCTAAAATTCTTTTCTCCCCCTCATTGCCGGTTACAGTATCAAAGAAAAAAAAAAATTGTGGCCATCGAGATGAGAAAAAAAGCAAAGGTGGAAAATGTAAGTGTTTCAAAACAACATTTTTTTTTATTAAAAGAAATGTGAACATAGTTCTCTGAAACTAAATCGGTGAAAATTGTACTGAAATTATTTCAGTAAGTAATTTGTCACAATGTCAATTATTTTCAATAACAAATTATTAATTTATAATATAAATTTATTTATATTATATTATTAATTATTAATTAATTAATTCCTATTATTTATCATTATCATAATCATTAAATTCTTAAGCAGTCATCAAAATTATGATTCTGAAAGTGGCACCCAGTTCTGAACACTCAATTAATTTGAAATTATATTATATTAGTAAAATCATAAATTTAGATAAAATAGTTCATTGAAAGTTCATGAAATAACAAGGTGTTGATAAGTGGGTGTCAACTTGAGCATAATAAGGAAATTTGAGCAAAAGTTAGGAAATTTTTTAAAAATATCTAAATTGTCACAATATAAGCATCGTCTTCAAAAACATAAGTATTACACCAAGAGGGTGATTATGATATGCAAGCTAGTAGTTAAATTCAGATTTAGTTGCAGAGAGCATTCTATTTTTAAAAAAATTTGATAATCAAATTTATGTCTTCATCTGCATTTTTTATGAAATAAAGAAATATTGTTTTGAATATACTTTCATTGTTTGTAGAAGATTGTAAAGAAAAATGCTGCAGAAGTAGCAAGAGCTGCTGAAAAAGAGACCATCAACTTGATGTTGAAAGACGTGAGTATTTAAATACTCAACTAAAATATTGCTAACCAAGTTAAACTGACGTAACAATTAGTTACAATAATCTTTTTGTTTTTATTATCGACTTGTTATATTCGCTCGTCTTATTAAGTGAACACCCTGCAGAAAAGATCGACATATTTAATAATTAGTATAAAATTTCAGTTTAAATTTCTTCACGGGTGACTCTTTTGAAAAACTATTGTTGTATGTCCGACACATTTTCGGAAGTAAATATAATCGTTTAGGAAAATACTGAATCATATTTTAGTATTTTATTACGTTTTATAATCATCCTGTAAAAAAAGTTACTTTAATTGTTTAATGTGTTTTTTTTAAATTCTTCACCACAAGAATTTAGTTCAACTAACATGTCCTCGAACTATTTTCCGTTCCTTCAACACCTATAATAATTATTTGAAACATTATAGTGGCTACTTTATGCATTTTTAATAAAAGTTATAATATTAAAGAACATTTTACCGAAATGTAAAGAAAAGTATATCTGATAGATTTTAAAGAAGTGGTATATAGTTTTTTCCTCATTCTCGCGTCATTATTTGAACTTGTTAAATATTCTATATTTTTGATATTGATACATTTTATGCTATACAATAATTACTTATTAATTATTGTGGTAAACATGCATATTGACATCTATATTAATAATCCTATAAGAAAATGAATAAAAATTTCAATTTTATATGACTATCGATTGTTTATAAACTGTCACCAAAAATGCAACCTATATAGTTTTTAAAATCAGATTTTAAAAAGTCATCGTTAATATTTAAAAAACACTTAAATCTAGTAAGAGTTTCAAAATGAAGTATTATAATATTGGCTATTTAAAGTGGCCGGACTTTTTAAATTAATAAAACTTATTGCTTACGTCAGTTTAACATTAATTAGACTCATTGTTAAATTCTAGTTCTCGTTGGTGTTCCAAAAAGTTTTATTCTACTTGAGTGACTCTAATGATTTCAAAATTCAAAAATTTCATCACTTTTTAATATTTGAGTGCACTCAGTTTCGCTTTTCAACCTGGGTAATAAATAAAAAAATACAAAAATTAATTCGTTAACCATTCAGTTTTACATTCAAATTACAAATTCTTATTACGAATATCCAATACAATCTTCCAATTTTTAGCAATAGTTACAATTTAACGCGGCAAGTATGTGTCTGGGCATATCATGCCCGGATGTTTATTTTAGACCAATGGTTTTTTGAATTATCATTCCACAACTTTATTGCTTTGAGTAGAATGGAATCAAATTTATCTACCACAATGTTGTTGGGTATAAAAAACACGTCTATTTTTCGCACATCGAATCAGTTTCTAACGTTCGGTATTCGGGGCTTTAATGGTTCTTAATTACGAATATGACATTATAAATTTTTAATTTAAAAAAGCAGAGCCCAAACTGAAGGACTTTTTTCGAAATTAATAGTTTTTGTTTGAAATTCATGATTTGGCGGTTTTTGTGATAATGTAATTACAATCAGAAGTTCGATTTAAAATTTTTTAAATTTATTATTATATTATTAGTGTTATTTCATTATCATTATTAGTACTATAATTTAACTTAATTATTTTATATAAAAAAATCTTACAGGCAATTTTACAGACAGAGCATGACGTGCCCACTACATACTCTAACACATATTCGCCGGGTTAAATATTTAATTTTTTATAAATTTTTGAACATTAATTACACTAATTTTTAACTCTAGATGGAAGAAACTCGTAATGATGAATTAGACGAAGTAATTGTCAATCCAACAGTTACCGGTCAAGATTCATTTGACAATTTATTTGACAGCCTTAATACTTTTTTTCCACATTCCGACGTAGCTAATCAAACTGAAGAGGTATTTAATTATATAAATAAAAATATATCCCTTATTTTTATCAACATTAAAATTAATGTCGAAGGTTTTTAAATTTCTTTTCAATTTCACAAGAAAACAAAGTTGTCATAATTATCATAGAAAATTGACTGTTATTTTATACTTTGAGCATCCATTTTCTAATACTGAAAATATTGCAGAATTAATAACTATTTCTTTGAGGCCTACGATTGTAGTAATAGTTATTGTATAGTAACAGTTAAATTTTCCAAAACTTGCAACTATTCAAACGTAAATATCTTTGTCCCATTTTAAAGTCGAACGTTCCAAAACAGGTCAATCACAAGAAAAAATACAATTAAATTTATTAACGATTAAGATATATTGAATATTTTAAGTAATAATGTCAAAATAATATGTCAAGCTAACTGCAATTGTGGAAACAGAAATAAAATCATGTTAGTTTCTCACTAATCGTTCTAATCTAATCACTGGAGGTGAATAATAAGAATAATAAGGAGATCAAATAAAATTAAATATATATTCTCTTCTTTAAAATATTAAAGTTATGTAAAAAACTTCAAAGCATAATTTAATGTTGTCTTTAATAAGAAGTAGGGTCAGTTGGGGTAAATGGGGACAAAATAGCTATTTTTCACAAATTACCTAAGTTTCTTCCTTTAAAAGGTAATATTTGCGGGTTTATTTTTTTTAACTTGTTATTTACGTTCTCAGGAATTATTTTATGCAGCAGAAAAAAATTTAGATAAGCTTTAAACGCATGAAATTGACTGCCCCCATTTACCCCAAGATTTAGAAAATTTCATAAAATTTGGAGTAAATGGGGACAGCATAATTTCTAAGAAAGTTTTAAGAAAATAGTTTCCTCAAGTATATTACTGTATTAAGGGATGAAAAAACTTGAAAAAAATTTGTAGTAGATATAAAATAGTTGAACCAATTAAATTTTTTTTATTTTTTTGTATCTCAGTATTTCGTCTCGCAATTAAAAAAAGCAGACTTAAAAATCATACCAAATTTTTTTCTTATTCCTTACGACTCCCATAACAGAATTTCACTCGAAATTTTTATTTTTGTTAACTTTGTTAATAAAAATCAAAAATTCAAGTGAATTTCTGTTATAGGAGCCATAAGGAATATGAAAAAAATTTGGTATGATTTTTAAGTTTGTTTTCTTTGAAATGCTCGACAAAATACTGAAACAGTTTGACTTTGAATTTAAAGTTTTAAGGCATTGAGCGATAACTTGAATTATCTTGCTGACAATTGTCAAGATAAAAGTTTTGCAATACTCTAAACCTCTTGCAGGTGATCTGAGGTTAAAATATTGACTTTGAACTTAATTTGAAACTGTAAATTAAGCTCCAAAAACTTCTTGTCCCCATCTACCCCAGCTGACCCTATATAGCTTTTAATATATTGGCGAGAGGTGAAAGGTGAAAATAATACTGTAACTCATTTATTAGGAAATGAAAATTTTAAAAAATGAAAATGAAACCTTGAAAGCAGCTGTCGCAAGATATTCTACAATGTTAGGGGAGTGCGAAGCACTCATTAAAAGGCAAAATGAAACAATTTTGCAATTAAATGCGAAAGTTAAAAGTTTACAGGAGGTAAACCTTAAACAGGCCGATCAAAGTAAAGATTTGGGCGAAATTAAACAAAATATGGCAGAAGTTTTGAAGACTTTAGAGAGTCAAAAACAAACCGCGGAAAATGAACAGGTATTTTTAAAAATGAACCAACAATTAGAAATTACTGAAATTAAAATCAATTCTTTATTTACTTTCACTGTCACCTCCTGTTTCTTCTCCCATTTAATATTTCACACTTCTCACTCCTGTTTTAAATTTAACCTTCGCAGGTCAAGATCCCACCAAAAGTGATTCAGGCAATTTTAATATTTTAATATATTCCAGAGTTTTACAAACATGTTCATACTAATTGTATGCCATTTAACAAACTAATTTTTATCCAAATATAAAATCATATAAATAATTTACAACATATAATAATAATAATAATTTTCCGTTTTTGCGATAAGGACTAGACTACTAATATTGGCATGCTAATATTTTCCCTGTACTGCAACAGTACCACTCAATGATGTCCATTATGTTATCATTTCGCACTTATACTATTACTGGTGCAGTATTGCTTTCATTACTCCAGCAGTATGCTTATTAATTGGACAGTACCTGTGTTTATGATAAATTTTCCTTAACCCCTTTACTGTTAGAGAAAAGATTGATACTGTTATCCCAAAATGTCCAACAAATTCTGGTCGACAAATTTTTATAAAACTTAGTATATAAAGATTTTTGGGGTCTCTGAATGAAATAAAATTTTTTTTTTGGGATTTTTACTTATTTTTCAATTGTTTATTAGCTAAAAATAATAAATAATAATTTAATTATTATTTAATCAAATATCATTGATACCTGTAGTGTGCGAATAGTGATATAAAAGAATTTATTTTACAATTTAAATGGAAAATTTCATTTATTTTGTCGCTGACAGTGAAGGGATTAAGGAATTAACACACATTTTCTGGCTTGTGAAATCTTTTTCTAATTAATACCTATAATTCTAATAGGCATGTAATCTATCTTTCTGTTTAGTTTTTTATCTGGAGACTTTCTCTCCAAGCTTACCGTCAATTTTCTTTTTAAAAGACATTTTCTTCTTCAAATTCATTCATATCTTTTACATATTTGAGACATAAAAAATCTTTTTATGTATCAAAAACGGAAAAACAAAAAATTTATCATTATTATTCAGAAATATAATTTGAATAAAATATACATTAAGTACTTAAAATGGTTGACTTAAAAAGGAAAAAAAATATAAATAAAATTAATACAATATTATGTCTTATTAGGACTTTCTTTTAAAAAAAGCCACTGTAATCCTTGAATTATCAACATTTAAGCCTTTTCTCATGTATCTGAATTTTTATAGTTTTGAATGAAATGGAAGTGAAATTAAAAGCAGAATTCTTTTTAGACTTTCTATAAGTTGTAAATTGCAGTAAATCCATTTTTCAATAAATAGGTCCACGAAGAACATGTAGGCCGAAAAAGCCTAAAATTCTTTTCTCCCCCTCATTGCCGGTTACAGTATCAAAGAAAAAAAAAAATTGTGGCCATCGAGATGAGAAAAAAAGCAAAGGTGGAAAATGTAAGTGTTTCAAAACAACATTTTTTTTTATTAAAAGAAATGTGAACATAGTTCTCTGAAACTAAATCGGTGAAAATTGTACTGAAATTATTTCAGTAAGTAATTTGTCACAATGTCAATTATTTTCAATAACAAATTATTAATTTATAATATAAATTTATTTATATTATATTATTAATTATTAATTAATTAATTCCTATTATTTATCATTATCATAATCATTAAATTCTTAAGCAGTCATCAAAATTATGATTCTGAAAGTGGCACCCAGTTCTGAACACTCAATTAATTTGAAATTATATTATATTAGTAAAATCATAAATTTAGATAAAATAGTTCATTGAAAGTTCATGAAATAACAAGGTGTTGATAAGTGGGTGTCAACTTGAGCATAATAAGGAAATTTGAGCAAAAGTTAGGAAATTTTTTAAAAATATCTAAATTGTCACAATATAAGCATCGTCTTCAAAAACATAAGTATTACACCAAGAGGGTGATTATGATATGCAAGCTAGTAGTTAAATTCAGATTTAGTTGCAGAGAGCATTCTATTTTTAAAAAAATTTGATAATCAAATTTATGTCTTCATCTGCATTTTTTATGAAATAAAGAAATATTGTTTTGAATATACTTTCATTGTTTGTAGAAGATTGTAAAGAAAAATGCTGCAGAAGTAGCAAGAGCTGCTGAAAAAGAGACCATCAACTTGATGTTGAAAGACGTGAGTATTTAAATACTCAACTAAAATATTGCTAACCAAGTTAAACTGACGTAACAATTAGTTACAATAATCTTTTTGTTTTTATTATCGACTTGTTATATTCGCTCGTCTTATTAAGTGAACACCCTGCAGAAAAGATCGACATATTTAATAATTAGTATAAAATTTCAGTTTAAATTTCTTCACGGGTGACTCTTTTGAAAAACTATTGTTGTATGTCCGACACATTTTCGGAAGTAAATATAATCGTTTAGGAAAATACTGAATCATATTTTAGTATTTTATTACGTTTTATAATCATCCTGTAAAAAAAGTTACTTTAATTGTTTAATGTGTTTTTTTTAAATTCTTCACCACAAGAATTTAGTTCAACTAACATGTCCTCGAACTATTTTCCGTTCCTTCAACACCTATAATAATTATTTGAAACATTATAGTGGCTACTTTATGCATTTTTAATAAAAGTTATAATATTAAAGAACATTTTACCGAAATGTAAAGAAAAGTATATCTGATAGATTTTAAAGAAGTGGTATATAGTTTTTTCCTCATTCTCGCGTCATTATTTGAACTTGTTAAATATTCTATATTTTTGATATTGATACATTTTATGCTATACAATAATTACTTATTAATTATTGTGGTAAACATGCATATTGACATCTATATTAATAATCCTATAAGAAAATGAATAAAAATTTCAATTTTATATGACTATCGATTGTTTATAAACTGTCACCAAAAATGCAACCTATATAGTTTTTAAAATCAGATTTTAAAAAGTCATCGTTAATATTTAAAAAACACTTAAATCTAGTAAGAGTTTCAAAATGAAGTATTATAATATTGGCTATTTAAAGTGGCCGGACTTTTTAAATTAATAAAACTTATTGCTTACGTCAGTTTAACATTAATTAGACTCATTGTTAAATTCTAGTTCTCGTTGGTGTTCCAAAAAGTTTTATTCTACTTGAGTGACTCTAATGATTTCAAAATTCAAAAATTTCATCACTTTTTAATATTTGAGTGCACTCAGTTTCGCTTTTCAACCTGGGTAATAAATAAAAAAATACAAAAATTAATTCGTTAACCATTCAGTTTTACATTCAAATTACAAATTCTTATTACGAATATCCAATACAATCTTCCAATTTTTAGCAATAGTTACAATTTAACGCGGCAAGTATGTGTCTGGGCATATCATGCCCGGATGTTTATTTTAGACCAATGGTTTTTTGAATTATCATTCCACAACTTTATTGCTTTGAGTAGAATGGAATCAAATTTATCTACCACAATGTTGTTGGGTATAAAAAACACGTCTATTTTTCGCACATCGAATCAGTTTCTAACGTTCGGTATTCGGGGCTTTAATGGTTCTTAATTACGAATATGACATTATAAATTTTTAATTTAAAAAAGCAGAGCCCAAACTGAAGGACTTTTTTCGAAATTAATAGTTTTTGTTTGAAATTCATGATTTGGCGGTTTTTGTGATAATGTAATTACAATCAGAAGTTCGATTTAAAATTTTTTAAATTTATTATTATATTATTAGTGTTATTTCATTATCATTATTAGTACTATAATTTAACTTAATTATTTTATATAAAAAAATCTTACAGGCAATTTTACAGACAGAGCATGACGTGCCCACTACATACTCTAACACATATTCGCCGGGTTAAATATTTAATTTTTTATAAATTTTTGAACATTAATTACACTAATTTTTAACTCTAGATGGAAGAAACTCGTAATGATGAATTAGACGAAGTAATTGTCAATCCAACAGTTACCGGTCAAGATTCATTTGACAATTTATTTGACAGCCTTAATACTTTTTTTCCACATTCCGACGTAGCTAATCAAACTGAAGAGGTATTTAATTATATAAATAAAAATATATCCCTTATTTTTATCAACATTAAAATTAATGTCGAAGGTTTTTAAATTTCTTTTCAATTTCACAAGAAAACAAAGTTGTCATAATTATCATAGAAAATTGACTGTTATTTTATACTTTGAGCATCCATTTTCTAATACTGAAAATATTGCAGAATTAATAACTATTTCTTTGAGGCCTACGATTGTAGTAATAGTTATTGTATAGTAACAGTTAAATTTTCCAAAACTTGCAACTATTCAAACGTAAATATCTTTGTCCCATTTTAAAGTCGAACGTTCCAAAACAGGTCAATCACAAGAAAAAATACAATTAAATTTATTAACGATTAAGATATATTGAATATTTTAAGTAATAATGTCAAAATAATATGTCAAGCTAACTGCAATTGTGGAAACAGAAATAAAATCATGTTAGTTTCTCACTAATCGTTCTAATCTAATCACTGGAGGTGAATAATAAGAATAATAAGGAGATCAAATAAAATTAAATATATATTCTCTTCTTTAAAATATTAAAGTTATGTAAAAAACTTCAAAGCATAATTTAATGTTGTCTTTAATAAGAAGTAGGGTCAGTTGGGGTAAATGGGGACAAAATAGCTATTTTTCACAAATTACCTAAGTTTCTTCCTTTAAAAGGTAATATTTGCGGGTTTATTTTTTTTAACTTGTTATTTACGTTCTCAGGAATTATTTTATGCAGCAGAAAAAAATTTAGATAAGCTTTAAACGCATGAAATTGACTGCCCCCATTTACCCCAAGATTTAGAAAATTTCATAAAATTTGGAGTAAATGGGGACAGCATAATTTCTAAGAAAGTTTTAAGAAAATAGTTTCCTCAAGTATATTACTGTATTAAGGGATGAAAAAACTTGAAAAAAATTTGTAGTAGATATAAAATAGTTGAACCAATTAAATTTTTTTTATTTTTTTGTATCTCAGTATTTCGTCTCGCAATTAAAAAAAGCAGACTTAAAAATCATACCAAATTTTTTTCTTATTCCTTACGACTCCCATAACAGAATTTCACTCGAAATTTTTATTTTTGTTAACTTTGTTAATAAAAATCAAAAATTCAAGTGAATTTCTGTTATAGGAGCCATAAGGAATATGAAAAAAATTTGGTATGATTTTTAAGTTTGTTTTCTTTGAAATGCTCGACAAAATACTGAAACAGTTTGACTTTGAATTTAAAGTTTTAAGGCATTGAGCGATAACTTGAATTATCTTGCTGACAATTGTCAAGATAAAAGTTTTGCAATACTCTAAACCTCTTGCAGGTGATCTGAGGTTAAAATATTGACTTTGAACTTAATTTGAAACTGTAAATTAAGCTCCAAAAACTTCTTGTCCCCATCTACCCCAGCTGACCCTATATAGCTTTTAATATATTGGCGAGAGGTGAAAGGTGAAAATAATACTGTAACTCATTTATTAGGAAATGAAAATTTTAAAAAATGAAAATGAAACCTTGAAAGCAGCTGTCGCAAGATATTCTACAATGTTAGGGGAGTGCGAAGCACTCATTAAAAGGCAAAATGAAACAATTTTGCAATTAAATGCGAAAGTTAAAAGTTTACAGGAGGTAAACCTTAAACAGGCCGATCAAAGTAAAGATTTGGGCGAAATTAAACAAAATATGGCAGAAGTTTTGAAGACTTTAGAGAGTCAAAAACAAACCGCGGAAAATGAACAGGTATTTTTAAAAATGAACCAACAATTAGAAATTACTGAAATTAAAATCAATTCTTTATTTACTTTCACTGTCACCTCCTGTTTCTTCTCCCATTTAATATTTCACACTTCTCACTCCTGTTTTAAATTTAACCTTCGCAGGTCAAGATCCCACCAAAAGTGATTCAGGCAATTTTAATATTTTAATATATTCCAGAGTTTTACAAACATGTTCATACTAATTGTATGCCATTTAACAAACTTTAAATAGCTTTCAAAAAATATAAAAACTGCTTTTAGCTGTTAAATAATGTATTTCGCTAATTTTTAATTGCACTCTTCATTTTATTGAAACATTTAATTATCTTTATTTACCAAATTTTTTCACAGAGCACTTACATTTGTGTTGAAATATCTTCTATATTGATTTCTCTATTTTCCTCACTTATATTATGTGCAAAAATTATCTGTACAAATAAATTCAATTATTTGCTATTACTTTTTTAATTACATTTATTGTTTAATATTACGAAATTATTTTTACTGTACATTAAGAATTCTATTCATTATTTTTATTAATTATACTTATGGCTTAAAATATCCTTAACACTTAGACAACCAGGTCGCCGATAACGGGTATACCATCCTTAAAAAAATTGATTTTTTGGTCGATAACACCGTTTTCTCAGACCCGGTCACATATGAGGTAAACTGTAGAAAATTTCTCCGTTCGACAGTCAAATTTTAGCGATATGCATAAGACAATATTGTCCAATGCACATCACATAACAATACTTTAAATAATAACAGTAGTAGCAAATAATTCAATTTGTTTTCGCAAGATTTTTTGTGTTTTACTCTATAAAACTATTTATTTCTATGAATCTATTAATTAGGTTTTTTTTCAATAGTAACTAGAATTATTCACTCCAAAAAAATTATTTGTAATTTCTTGAGCATGTTTAATTATCATTTCTTATTAACACATCTTGTTTCCTAATGAAGATTATCTATTCATCATTTTAATGTAATCTTTTTTCTCCCTCAATTCCTATTCTTTATTTATTTCACTAGTCAAGTAAGGTTTCTTCTTTTTTGAGTCATTTTCTCTTATGATTCCTTTAATTTAATAAGTTTAAATATTTTTGTTTGTTCATAATATGCACTTTGAATCAATTTATATCTATATTCGAGAATATTGTATGCTTTACTCAATGACTTATTGCATTGCTTTTTCAATATATGTCTTTTCTAATCATCAATCACACAATTTCATGCTTTAAACATATTGCTTGTAAATTATAATTTTTAGGAGTTTATTTTTACGAATTAAAAAAATAGACAATATTTTTATGGTTTTTTATTTTTATTTTTCATTAAGATTTAAAGTCATAAAAACTATTTAAAATATTATGGAGTTGATTGTGAATGTAAAAAGAAGGTAATTGTCGAAATTTTGTTATTTATGATTAGATATAAAGAAAATTGCAAGGTGTTAATTTCAAACAATAGTTTTAATTGTAAACTACAGACACAAATAACATACACTATTATTGATAAAGTACACTGATTAATAGAACACAAGAGAGAAATACCCGGTATCGAAGTATTATTTCGAAAAGGCAGAGCACGCACTTACTTTGCAAAAGCGGATAAAGTGCCTTATTCTTGGCTTCTGGAAGGAGGAAGACCATGGCCGCCTTTGGATAAGGGCACCTCCAGGAATGAATGCTAATGATATTGTGAAGCCAAAAATGGATGATTTTGTAAAAATTCTTAGTAAGTTTTAATACCCAGTAGAAGCCCTGCTATCCCAGATCGGCATAAAAATATATTTCACCTTTTCAATCGGTCTTCAAATCTCCAGGCAGAAAATTTAATGCATGTCAAATAACTTAAAAGTTTTTACGTTTACTTCAGCTAGTTACTGGTCAGAAAATTTGACACATGACAGGGTACAAACGTAGTGACTAATATAAAAATCCCTGGTTAAATTAAACTTCTTTAGTAACATGCCAGATTTTCTGACCAAAGTTTAAATTAATTAAAATATTTTACGGATTTTTAATAACTTATTCATTATAGTTTCTTTAACTTCACTATTAATACTAAGAAGTAATTAGCAACTTTTATGAATATTATTTTAATCTAAAATTTAAACCTTCAGGGACACATATAGTACTAACAACTTAGCCATTAATGTAAATAAAAGGTTTATATTTTTCTGAATATAAGAACGAATTTTTCAAAATTTCACTTCATTCCCTTAAAATTTTCCATTCGGTGGTTTTCAGGGTCGTTCATTAAGAATTTGAAGTCAGATTTCAAAAGTTCAAAATGGCGGATCCAATATTATTTATTTTATATATTATTATATGCAATATATTATATTATTTGATATTATCGTATATTATTATTTAGTATTAATTAATTGTCAAGATATTTTTATTTGCAATAGCATGGTGTCTAACAATTTCAAGAAAAAAAATTCCCCGACTTAACCTGACGATAAAAATTAGAAAACCTCCAAATTTTTGATAATTATAAAACAACTTTAAACTTTAAAAAATAGAAACTAATTTTATTTTTTTCTTTCTAAAGTTTTTAGCGGAACCTCTCAGATGGTGTTGAAGTCCGTGCTTCCTACAAGTTTAATTTGGAAGTTTATGTCCGTAATCAGCGACACCCCCCCTCCAGAGTGACAAGTTTTAGACGAATTCAATGACTTTTGAAAAACTCGTCAGCTTCATTGAATCCGACATTTTGAATTTTTAAAATCTGACATTAGATTAATAATCAGCGACCCAAAAAACCATTGGATATTGAGTTTCAACAAAATGCGTTCGTTAGGTTTCTCCGGTACACGAGAACTGCCATGTATTTTTTAGTTACCTATCAAGACTTTCGGGCCACAATGTCCTTTCTTATCATATTGATATTTAAGATGATGATATTTTGATTTTTTATGATATTTTAGACCTTTCCACGTTTGGAAATATTAAAATTATGGTGGTTACGTGATGTATCACTTGCACACTGTTAAACACCCAGCGTGATCTCAACGTTTGAAAAATTAAGTGTGACCTGAAGGGTTAAAGGTTTAAAAGTAAAATTGGGATTTGTGAGATTCTGTAACCACAATGACTGTACAATCATTGTACTATTTTAACTCTCTGTTTATGCTAACTTGTCCTCACTTTAGCGCTATATTCCCCACCAGGCATCTAGATTGATAACAAAAAAAGAATTTCTTATTTTGACTCCTTCTTCCCTTGCTTTTCTGACCAGTAACTTGAACTCGACTTGACATAAGTGCTTATCAGATAACGTAATTAAACTATCAGCTACTTAGCAATGATCAATAAGATGGGGTTGTCAAGTAATACTTGATCAGAATTTGAATGATACTGGATTCAAAAAGTATTACGGGACAATATTTTTTGCCTTGGTATGAAAATTCAATGTATGCTATGAGTTCTGTTTAAATACTTATTATTTAAGGGGGGAAACTCGTGTAAATGCACGTTTTTTCATGAATTTAAAAAACTGGTAAAGTTCATTGAATTAAAGTAAAACATACGCAAGCCAAGGCCCTTCACCGTCCGATCTATATCATCTGTTTTAATTATAGATTAGTAACTTAGGATCCTATTCTACAGATAGTAAACTAATTTTTAAAGCAAAAAAAAAAATTTGTTTTACACGAGTTTCTCCCCTTAAGGAAGATTTATTCCACAATTAACTTAAAATTTTTTTTCAATTCAATGCATGCAAATGACTAAAATATAATAACTGAGGGGAATAATTTGTAATTATTATTGTACATTTTATAAGTTTGAAAAAGTATTTACTGCCTAGAATTGTTAAGAAAACTGGTGTTTTGTAAATAATTGCAAGTATTTCTTTTTAACCCTTTACAAATCCTAAAAACAATTATTCTTATACATCTCTGTTACAATTGTTTTCAATTGCTGTACGTTTTAATCCGAAACACAAAAAGCACAATATATTTCCGAAAAATTTCTAAAAGCTTCTATTATATCCTCAGCGATATTCTTCACAAGTTTTTAGGAAGATAACCGTGCTGTAGGCGGACAAAACTTAAATATAGAAATTTAAGAAAGTATTGATTTCAAAAGAAAGTTTTAATTAATTTAATTGCAATTATTAAAACTGTTAGTATTACAATATTAAAATTATTTAAATTTTTACAATTGTTAATAAAATGGAGACTGTTTTCTCAATTGATAATGGCATGATTATCAATTAGCTTGATTAACTATATGGGTTCAATTGCTATAGTTATTTATTTCCGAGGTTCATTTAAAATTTAATAATATTTTGAATAGTTGTTTTTGGGATGCGCTTGCATAATATTGCATGAAAAATTTCCACATTTTTACTTGTTTTCCTTCGTCCTATACATATTCAATATCTTTTCCATCATTAATGTTCTTACTTGTTATTATGCTTTTCCCGCAAGTTTCATATACTTCATTTTTATATTACAATATGTTTATTTATGTTATATTTTGAAAACCATTGAAGTGGAATTTTTATAAATTAATTTCAATAACTTCTATTAAATGATTTTAAACGATTAAATTCTACTCCAATGACATTCAGAACCTAACATGAAAAAATTATTAACTTTAAATTTGAATCAGTGAAAAATTATTGATAAAAGTAAATCCACTTAACAATTCAGTAAATATTCCACAGGTTGTCAGTGAAATTTCAATGAAAATGAGTAATATCTCTTTTTATCCATTCATTTAGTAAATAAAATTCTTAACTATTAGTGAATTTTCTTGATTATTCAATTAATATTTCTCTTGATAATAATATTTGATAAAGATAAAAGAAATCGTCCACTGATAGTACTCTGTGAATTACTAGTCATATGTCAGTGTAATTGTTCGTTTGTTTTAATATTTCACTGAATCAAATTTAGAGTATTTGTAGTCTTTAATTACTATTTTTTTCAACTGCAGATATTGCAAAAGAAATAGAAAAAAATCCAGATTTTCTTTTGGATGAAAGTGCGAATGATTTAACATCTGAATCCATTAGGGATTTTTTCATTCAAATAACGAAAACCAAACGCGAATCTGCTAAGAAAGTACAGTATGTATAAAGAAAGAGTAATTAATTATTATCATTAGTTGAAATTTGCCTAAGAAAGTTTGTCATCAACATAATTAGTTGTGCTGAGATATCCCGGAAATATCATGTTTTCTACAATATTCCACACAAAAAAATGTTTTTAAATTCTCAAACTATTTTCATTACAAAAGTTGGATTTCTTACAATGGAGTGTTATTCTATGTGCATGAAACATCCCCTATAACTCAGATATTTAAAGATGTTTAAGATGTTTCCGCTACATCTTATCCGAAATATATAATTGTTGAAATCTTTCTATGAATGTCAATGTTCCTTCAGTGGATATTGAGTTTCCGTCCACTGTATTTTAATTTTATATTGCAAATATTCACCTCGTAAGTAAATAAAAAAGTTATCGTTTTGTAATGTTTTGTTTTGTAAAGTAATTTCTTGCATGCTGAATGAAAAGTTTCTTAATATGTAATAACACATTTGGTATTGAGACCATCACAGCATCAGATGTTATCCTTAAACCTTCTGATTGGATTATCTGACTACAGAATAGAATGGGGCGAAAAAACCTTTTGAATTTTAAACTAAAATTTTTAAACTCTTTTATCAACCATTTGTAATGTTAAGTTTATTAGGTAGTACGCAACTTTTGATTCCAGTTTGGTTGATGCATCAAAAGTAGTATAATTTCTGTATTATTATTTATTTCTCAGCTGCTTCAGTAAAATATAAAATGTCAAGTTTATAAGGTTGTACACTATAAACATAATCGTTAATGTCCAAAAAAATTATTGTCGAAACTAAAAGTAATATATTATTATTAATTATGTAAATTCTAAAGTGGCCTTTTTGACACACTTATTACGCAATTATTACGGAATTAAACTTCAAAAGACAGTTTGGAATTTTTTAAATTATGTAAAATTTCAATTTTTATACATACATAGTATACATATATTCACATATTGTATATATAATGTTTGTTTACAAATCAAAAGTTTATTTTGTAAAAATTAAATTACTTCAAAGTTTCTCGACCTAATATTTTTGTTCTTAAAAATTTTTAAATGGGGAGCATTCTTAGACAAATTTCATTCATGATAATTGAGTCAAATATTTGAAATACTTGTTAACAAATCAATAATTTAAATAATTTATTATTTTCCAGGAAAAATCTTGAAATTAATGATGAGCATTCTGTTTAAATTGCTTTTTAATTTGCTACTAATTGTTTTCTTAATTCTACCTAAAAATGTACATTTTATTAAATATGTTTCTGTTCTTGTATTTTTATAAGTAATTTATAGTTATGTATAAGGAATGCATGCAAAATGTGCTTTATATTTTTATTATTTGTTTTGGATATACGTTGTATTTAGAGAATTTCTATCTATATATGTGTTTTTGGTTTTTAATTTTTAAAGCTATTACTCACTTTGCAACAATAATATTACTTGCATCATATAACTATTTTCAATTTTTCAAATCATAACGCATAAAAATCCTTTCCTACATTATTTTTACATTGTATTTTTAAAATAAGAATATTGAGAACAATATTCTTTCAAACTCCTATAGACACCCATAAGTGACAGGAAAGATATTTATTTATTTATTTAATTACAAATTTTCTAAGGCTAGTTAGCCCTTTAAGGAACATTACAGAGTTATAAAGTATGGGGTATAATCTTGATAATATCTTGTTGTAATGTAATTATTTATTTAAAACTCTTTTTTCAATTTACTATATTTATTATATAAAATATAAAACATAGGGATACACTATGAGTTTTATTTGATGGTAATAATAAAAAGTTTAACTTGTCTTAATGGGGAAATGTAGTAGTATAGCATAAATCAAATAATCGCGAATTTACATAATTACAAAACTCTTATCCCTGCCACGCTTCTATAGAGGTGTACAAGACATTTTCAAACATTGATAAAGCGAATATGGAAAATAGTTTTAAACTGGAACGAATATTTCACGAGCTACTCGGACATGTGTCCGTATAATCTGGAAAATTATCTAAATTATTTCAAAATATGTAGTTTCACAATTTTCAGTAGCAAATTAATTTTTTCAAAAAACTTTGATAAAATAATTATTGTTTATTATTTTTTTCATTAGTATTAGTAAGTGATTGACATTTAAGAAGAATAGGAATTGAACTTGGGTTCGACGGACGCAAACAAAAAATAATAATTGACAAGTTAAACAACTTTCAGAAGAAAAATCTGCCCGCCCACACTTAGGGGGGGTTTCAGAGCACGCTTCGAGCGCAGGCTTCGAAAGCCATTCTTAAATTATATAAGATTTCAAAGGTGGAATATATCCTCCACCATATCTTTCTATCTAACGGCTTCATTATCATTCGTCCAGAAGTGGTATAAGCATTTAGAAACCACATTGTCCTCTAATATTAAGATAAAAAAATAAAAGAAAGTGGTAAAAATGTAATAATAGAATATTTTTTGGCAAATATTTCGACAGAAAAATTGTTGCTCATAAAATTTGAAACTGAAATGTCTGTGAGATAATTATCTTATGTTGCCAATTTTCGAAGATGAAAACGATTATAAATCAGATTTTGGCTACTAATATATATATATATATATATATATATATAGTGTTTTCTCAAGAAGTTAAAAGTTTTCTGCTTGGCATGGATTTGATTAGTAGTTTAAGATGAGAATGAGTACACTTTGAATGATATTTTTTTCTACCTTTGGCCATTCCAAAGAAAATGCTCTAAGTAAAGTTTATAAAAACAGAATGTATCAAGAATATTTTACATTACTAAAATGTGCGGAATTTTAAATTTTTAACTGGTAATTATAAAAATAATTATATTGAAGAAAGAATGAAGCCGCTCTAAACAAATGAAAACGATTTATAATAATTTGCAAAAAAGAAAAAGAACAGTATTTACATCAATTCATAATGCAATAGTTTAGAACTAAAAAAGTAAGACATTCTAGAAGTGTAAAATATATTTAAAACGTACTGTTTTTAGAACCTTTATATATATATAGAAGTGTTTTCTTTGGAAGTTCTCAATACGAACATTTTTTCCTGATTTTTTCAGTTTCAGAAGTAATGCACTGTTGTTGGTTTTTCTTTAGCATGGCAGAGCAATGTTAGTATGGTTGTAACTATGATGGTGAACAAAAGTAAAACATTTTCAAGACCGAAAAAATGAATCACAATATTAATTTTTAACGACTAATCGCATGACGAAGAAAAAACTAAAAGAAATTTTTTTTTGACAGTTTGAGAACATTTTGAAAAAAATCATTCTTTTCATAAACAATGTTCAAAAACAATTGTTAAAAAATTTTTTTTAAAAAAAAGTAGCTCGTCATGCAATAGCCAGTAAGATAAAGAAGATTTGTGGTAAGTTTGATTAAAATCGGTTAAAAATTGCCTGCGTTACATTCAGTTACATTGCACGGCGCGCGAAAAAACGCGTTTCGAGATACATAAAAGTAGTGTTTCAACTATAGCCTTGAAGACATTATGTATTAGAAAATAACTGTTGCACTAAAACAAAGATTTACTATCACTTGTTTATGGTGCTTGCTAATGACAATTAATAAAATCATATTGACGAGAAACCGAAAGAATAGAGGGATCTCATGCTCACAGTTAACTGCATTTGGTAGCATCTAAAATGCGAAACTTATGTTTACTATAGACATTCATACATCTAATTATAGATTAGTCATGTAGGATCATATTCTATAGATAATAAACTAATTTTTAAAGCAACAAAAAAATTGTAAAAAAATTGTTTTACACGAGTTTCCCCCCTTAAATTTAACTTGAATTGAAAAATTTTAGAAAAAAAGTGTTTGCCTTTATCAATACAGAAAAAACTGTGTTGTAAAAATTTTTTTTAAAAATAAATTTTTGCAGCTTTTGGCATTTTAACCCTTTAATGGAAAGTTGGACATATATGTCCCACTTCAAAAAATCATAACATTCTTCAATCTTAACGTATTAACTTCGCTTTCGTCTCATTTTGAAGGGCCGATCAAGAAGAACAAATACATATGCATAACGTTTTTGAAAAAACTACCCCTTTTGAAATACACCCCTTAAAAAAAGTCGAAAAATCACAAAATTTAAAAAAGCAGTATAAATTCCATGAAAATTTTTTTTTTAGTCTCAACTATTACACATGTTTAAAAATATTGTGAGAATTGTAAACAAAATAAGTAAGAAAAATTCTTCACAAGCGTAAAAAATATAAAATACTACCCCATTGAACCAAAATTTTTAAAATTGATCAGATTTGCCTGAAATTTCTTACTCAGAGGGTTTTTGGGGTCGCCGATTACGAATCCAGTGTCACTTTTTCAAAATTCATAATGGCGGATCTAATATGGCGAACGAATTTTTTAAAATTCATTCAGCGGTAGCTGTTTACATTGACGTGCGCGGACATAAAATATACTATTATATAATTTTTTTATTATTCTATTATATAGAACTTTTAGTACACGTAAAAATACAACTTTTGTCATGATGAATGAATTAAAATTCAAGACGGAAATAGAAATTTTGCTTGTTTTTCGAAAATACTGGTTTTATGACTTTTCAAAATCAGTGGGCAGTTGTGCTCAATCGTTGAAAATTGAAGAAAAAGACACATCTTTTAGAATATTCTTCATTTAAATTATGAAACGTGAAAAATAAGATAAGTTACATAAAAGAAATTAATAGATAAGATAATAAAAGATTAATTTTAGATAATTTAGATGAAATAAAATTATTTTAAAAATAATTGAATTAAACTAGGTAATTAATTGCATTTTCAATGAATACAGATGTAAAAAGTCTCATTTAATTTCATTTGCATTCATAAATAATGCGAAATAAAATAAACTAAACATAAAGAGTCAAAAAAAACTTTTAGAAACAAATTTAAACTCACTCTCAGGAATGACAGGAAAAATGCTTCCAAAAATAACGAGTACCAATTAAGAAGTTAGTTTTTAACGAAAAAAGAATATGAAAATAATTGAAATTTGTCATATTTATTCCCATATTAAAAATATTAAGGTGGAGCACGACTCCCTACGAGGCACAACTCCCCACTCTCCCCTACAGAACAGAAAAAAACCTTACCTTTTATTTGCAATTATTTATTTAAAAAAAACGCATCGATTTTAGTGAAAATAGCAAATTTGTTTCATTATAGAGAATCAAGGTCAAAATTAAAAAATTAAAAAAAACATTCACCATTGGAAAGAGCATGAAAAACCTTCAAAAAACAGACCTTTCAAATTTGTTTTATTGCATTTATAGACAGCAAAAATTCCTGAAAATTTTTTTTCATAATTTTGAAACGTACAAAATCAATCACATTTTTTTCAAAACAAATTTCAATATCTAAAAATAGTTATGAAGTAAGGGTGGGTTTCAAGGGGGTGTTTACCATTATTATTCACGTCACAGTAAAAAGAAAGTCTTATTTTAAGGCAGGATAGAGGTCTTATTTTAAGATGCAACATTTTTAAGACAACCATGCTCAATTTACGCAATGGATTTTCCATACCAATTACATTATGACTAACAGTGCTGAATTTAAGACTGATCTTAAAATACGATTTTCTGTTTACTGTGATCTATGTAGCTAAGAAATACTTTTTTATAATTCACATCTACACATACATTCACAATCTGTTTTTAATTATTTACAAAATTTTTTACAATAAAAAGGGTGGTTTTTTACATTAAGGATGTTTTTCAAGGGGTTGTTGATTATCATCTGAAATTTAAAAACAACCAGGAAATATTTGGAAATAATTATAAAGTATGTAAGAGCTGAAAAAAAATTTCATTAATCCTTTAGATGAATTATTAATATTTCGGGGTAGTATTGAACGTAGGGGTGGTTTTAAGGGGTGAAACGTGTTAAAACTTTTTTTTATTTATATTGAATACTAAAATAATTAAATCTAATATACATCCTGACTCTCAAATAACGACAAAAAACTCGGCTATTAAAGTGTCAATGCCAATTTTGAGTATATCAAACTGCAATTTGATTCGCTTAGTTTTACAAAGGTTATCGTGTCAACAACAGTTTTTCTACGGCCAGACAGACTAACAGACACCGGACACACACAATTGACGGAGAATGTTTTTTGATTCAGGGCACCTCAAAATTTGAAAATTCAGTGGAAATAGTAAAAGCCAATTTTTGAACAATTATAATACAATACTTCGCGATTGCTTACGTTTTTTAAACAATTTTTTTGAATCTCTTTTTATCAAACAATCTTAAAGAATAAAATTTTATGAAATTTAAGAAAAAAGTACATAAAATAGTAGGTTATATAATAGAAATTTAATTGCTTTTAAATTATTTTACAGTAAGCAGCATAATAGAAAGTCAAAATGGCAGATATTGAGGAAGATGCTAGTTCAGACTCTAATAGCGAGCGGGATTCTTCAGAGTATGGTTCTGATGACGAGTTTGACGGTGAAGAAGTTTTAGGGGATGATGAAGATTTATCTGAGGAAGAAGATGAAGATATGGACATCGATCGAAATGTGCAAGACGCAGATAGGCAAGATGGACAAATCAATAATGATGTTAACATGCCAGCTGGAAGACAAGTCGAAGAAATCCACGTTAGAAACAATGAACCAAGAGAAAATGCAACAGAGACATTATTTAGGGGTATTATACTATTGGTATGCGCGTCCCATTACAAAGTGCAGAACAGTTAGCAGCCATTGACCATTTTATAGTAGCATCAGCACAGGCAGTGCGACACAATGACACTTACGAACGCTTAATGGACAATTTCAGATGGCTAAAAAAATCATTTCGGTTTATTAATATACCGACAACTAAAAACGCCTTATGGAATGTACTTGGTCGAACAGGGGAAAATTTAACATACCGGTTCTTTTGCTCAAAATGCAAAGACGAAATTGGAATTGGTCGTCAAATACAAAGAAGATGTACTTGCGGTAGATGCGGTCCAGGTCAGGATAAGTCCTTTGTAGCAATTTTTATACAAGTGCTTTTGCGTCCTCAACTAATGGACTTATTAAAAATTCCAAACATCGCGGAAAAATTACGCTACAGAGATAATAGAGTTAGGTTAGATGGGAATGCAATGGAGGATATTTATGATGGACAGATGTACCAGCAACTTCAACGTAATGGAGGATTTCTTTCTAATCCTTATAACTATTCTTTGACATTATGGACCGACGGCTTAAAACTTACTCGATCATCTCGCGCTACGACATATCCAATAATTTTCCAGTTAAATGAACTTTCGCCCCATTCCCGAAAAAAACATTTGTTATTAGGTGGTCTGTGGGTTGCAAACGAACATCCTAATATGAATACTATTATGCAACCTGTAGTTAATGAAATAAGAGGTTTACATCGCAATGGAATCCCCTGGAGACCCGATGGAGAGAATGAGGTGATCAGTAGATTTATTGTAGTTATATTCACAGCAGACTCCGTGGCAAAACCTGACGTCTTAAGGATGAAACAATTCAATGGTGAAAATGGTTGCCCACATTGTCTTGCTCCTGGACAAATGGAAAATAATACATGGATATATCCTGCAGGAGAACATGAAATGCGCACAGATCGATCAATAAGACTTGACGGATTGGCTGCTCACAGAGAACGAATAATAGTCCGAGGAGTTAAAGGCGTTTCATCTTTAGCAACCTTACCGCAATTTAACCTCGTTAATGGTGTCGTTGTTGATCCTGCTCACAATCCGTTTTTAGGAGTAGCAAAGAGATTAGTTGAAAGATTTTTAACTGATGCCGAAGAAAATTGGTACATTGGACGACCACAACAAATCACAGTTATCGACAGAAGGTTATTGAGCATAAAACCACCTACAAGAAATTCTAGACAGCCTCGCAGTATACAACTCTATAAAATGTGGAAAATATCAGAATGGCGTAATTGGCTTCTTTATTACGCGCTTCCATGTCTTGATGGAATTTTGCCTCCGCTTTATTTTAATCATTTAGTACTACTATGTGAAGCGGTCTACATTTTGAATAACTGCTCTATACAACAAGCACAATTAGGCAGAGCAGATGATTGCATCAAACAGTTTGTGCAGGGATACGAAAGACTGTATGGACTTATCAACATGCTGTTTAATGTGCATCTTTTATATCACCTCGTTCATTCCGTACGCAACTGGGGTCCTTTGTGGGTGTACTCAGCTCTTCCATTTGAGTCTTTGAATAGAAGAATTTTACAGTTTGTGACAAGTCCGCATGCCAGAGGAAGTCAAATAGTTACTAGATTCTTTTTAAAAAAATTTATTGTAGTTGCAGCAGCACAAATACCAATTACTGCTGAAGCAAGACAAGAAGCTTATCGTCTTCTTAAAATTAGCAATTATCAAATAGAAGGCATGCCGGAAGGACATTATTTTCATGGTCTTGGAAGACAAGAGGCTCGTTATCCGCAACCATATGAAGTAGATCTTATTACAGCAGCAGGCAATGTAATTCATCCAGGAAGATATATTCGATTATATAGGAGAGCAATCATTAATGGAACAGAATACAGAGTTCGAGACAATGTCAGAAGGAAATTTTGCAATCATATTGCATTCTGTCAGGGCTCAAGATTTTTTGTAATTGAAAGATTTCTATCATACAGATACGGTGGGCAGTTAATAGCTGGATTTATTGGGACATTTTTGCATAGCATAGAACGTGCATTCAGAACTCCTCATATGCAACGCGTTACTGACATTCAAGTAAGGCATTTTATCTCTTACAACGCAATTATAAGTCCAGGTTTCATAATTCCCAGTGACGAAGGAATTGCAGCTGTTTCACTATGTAATGTGTGGGAAACTGATTAATAACTTAGGTAAATATCTAAAATTTTTATATTTATTTCACACATTTTCATTATTTTATCATTTTTAAGTTAATTTAATCTTAATTTTTCTCCATCATAAAAAAATTATAAAATTATTTGCGCAAACATTTATTGCATTCATCATACAGTTTGTTCAATGTATATAATAATATAAAAATTCAATAGTTGGTAATGAAATTACCCAACAACAAATGTAAATTTAATTTTTATATTTGTTAATGTGAATTACTAATGTGTATTCCTAAAAATATATTTATAGATGCAGTACAAGAAGATTTCATAATAACTGGATATATTTAAATTGATGACATAATAAATGACTGAATAACATAATAACGTTATATAATCCAATTAGACAAAAATAAGCAAAAATAAATGTCCCATTTTATGCTACTTGATGGACTTTCATTGCAGATTGGATGAATGTGAAGGAAAAATTGGACTACGATGGACAATAAAGAAAGGAACTTAGATTTTTAAAATAAAAAATGAATAATTCATTGTTAATAAAATAATTTATTTTCAAAGATTTTTGTTGTTGCTTTTATTAACACTAGAACTACAAAAGATCCTGCATATCTACAACTATTCATAGGTTTCTTCAAGTATATTTTGAATCCAATGTCGGAAATACTCTAGCATTTTAATTTTTCACTAAAAAATACGTTTAAATGATAAAAAACGGCCTTTTTTATGTTAACTTTACAGCAATATAGAAAACTATTACGACAAATTGCAAACTTCCAGTAGGCTTTAAAATAATAAAAAATCCTTCAACAATAAATTATGTATATCGAAAAAAAAAGTTTAACTGAGATTTTGACAAAATCTATTTTTTGATAAGCGCGTTCATTGTTTATACTTTGTAATAACTGTTCGTAATGATTATTTTTTAATTTTGGAATAATAATTGTTTTTAACAATATTAATAACCATTGAACAAAATTTCTTGTCAGTATTTCTAGGTATGACATTTCAAATCTCAGGTTCTGATAATGATAAAAATCTGAAATTTGGTATACTAATTAAACTCAACAAAAAAGTAAGTCAGAAAATTGTAGTCCTCTAGCTAAGCATTAACGGAAGATATAGTAGCACAAACATACGAGATGTGACAATTTGTACCATCGGTATAGTTCAAGTGTTGGAACCTAAATAAAAAGAACGAGAATCTGAAGATTTAAATAATTTAGAAAATTTATATATTACTGTAACTCTCAAAATCAATTTATATTCGTGACGCGTTATGATTGTCATTTTTTAAATGAAAATGCACAAAGAAAATTGAGTCTCAATAAAACAGTTAATTTTTTAGTGATTATTAAATCCCAAATATTAAAAAAATGTCTTATTGTTAAACAATTAAAAACCTCTAGAAAATAACTATCTAAGCAATAATTGAAAAACTTGACAGGAGCTATGAAAAAATAAATTTTCATAAAATTGGTTATATCTACAAGAAAATTGAATAAAATTAGTAGTAGCTATTAAGTTTTATAATAAATATCACTCCATATATACTGTCATTATCGTAGTTATTGTTATTGACACGCAAAATAATATAATCACCTTTCAATTTTATCGGCTTGCACAGAATTCAATTTTTTCTTTAATTGTTAAAATAATTTATTCTTCTCCTTATTCGACCTTTTTCTAAAACACATTGATTTTATCCGTTTTGGCAAAATAAATTTATCTTTCTTGTTTTGATGAACTCTGTATTATATGCATTGTATTTCATAAAAGTCGTTGCGGCATATTTTTAAAAAATGAAATTTTCAGAAATAAATCTGAATGAAGTTTAAATTTTTATTACTTGTTATGAAGTTAGAATTTAAAAAAGACAAGATGCAGAAAACTATCTCTTTTTTGGCAATTAGAAATTATATAAGAGAAATATATACTAAATCTTTAAATGTAAAACGAATTATTAGTTGAGGTTTCGGATCAATTAAACATACGGACATAAAATTTTTAAACTTTGCTTTCACTTTTAGAATAGTTTGAAGAATATTGTGTTAAAATTTCGTGAAAAAATATTCATATTTGTCGAAGTAATCGCGAGTTGAACACAAAAAAGCATTAAAAATTTCGATTCTTAAAAATGACGTTTTTTGTAAATAAATAAAAACGGTAAATTATACAAAAAAATTTATTTTGGAAAAAAGATGCGCAATAAAATTCTCTACAAAAAAGAATAATTAAAAATTTAATTTTGAATAGTTTCAAAATTTTATCTCCAGGGGCCAAATTATTTCACGATAATTCGCGCGTGTGCCCTTTTAAGATCCGGAGCCTCAGTTGTTGCTTAGAAGTAATGAATTTATTTTTTACTAATGATTAAAATATAAAAAAATTAAAATATTAAAAACATATTACATATTTATAAAGTATAGCTGCACCAAATAACCAAATTTTTGTGATTATCATGAATTAATAAGAAAAATGTAGAATTATTAAGTTATATTAAAAACTTACTTTTATGTCTGAATTGGAATGATTGCAATTTTAACCTTCGCGCTACCGAGAGCCATCTGAAGTGACCCAGCGATAAAGGATGTTTAAAATATACTAGAGTTTTGCATCAATTTCTAAAATTACTATTAATATTACTATTACTCAGACAGCACGTAAGCTTGCAGCAACCTTGCGGCATGCTTGCCACGCAACACATTGCCAACCTTGCACGGCAAACTTCAAATGTTCCACCTAACTCAAGCTTGCATGGTAAAATTGTCGAAAGATTGCACTGTAAGGTTACTGCAATATTGCACTGTAAGATTATCGCAAGATTGCTTGGTAAGCTTACCGAAAGATTGCAATTCGCAAATTTCCTACAATCGCTTTTCTGCTACGAGCAGATGAGGAATCTGGCTATTCAATATTAATAAAAACAATCATATGAATTTTTTTCTTATACACGAACATCCCGGGAACAATTATTTTGACAATTTTTTTTGAAAAAAAAATATTCATTAACAGTTGTTAATGTTAGAAATTTTT